AACGCGTGATATATTTTATCCGGCCCGATAAAATAAAATATGACTAAAACAGTCCGAAAAATACAACTTTCGGGGCCGATTATACACATCGGGGCATAAGGGGATGACCTCCCACATGAGTGGGGGCCACCCCACGACCCAATGTGCTGCACATGACAAGGAAGCAGCTGGGGATGTACCTAGTAGGTGGGAAGTCTCCAAGAGACAAAACCCATACCCACCATTACCCTACTCCCTTATTTTTATGGGTGGACTTAGGTGGATGGTGTTAATCACTCATCCTAGCATCTCCTCACCCATCCACTCGGCCAAGGCAGAGAGAGAAGCTCTAGGGAAGTCTCCTCTCATAGTCCAAGCAGCAAGGAAGAGAATCCAAGGAGAAGAAGGTTGTTTTTGAGGTAAGAACTCAATAAACAATCTTTAACTAGTTTTATTATTGTATGATTTTTAAGAAATCATATGCTGGATTAAATCATGAGTTCTACACGTTTAAAAGTGTAGAATATTGATATAAAGTTGTGGTAATTAACTTAGGAGGGTTGGCCAATCGATAGGAGTCGAAACCGCCGGAAACCGCCACTTCAAAGGAGCTAGTCGTAGTTGCAGACCACGAAAGCCGCCCGGCTTTCGTGAAAGCCACCCGGCTTTTGCCCAGCAGTCCAGTTTTACACCTTCAATCGGCCTAGAACGGGGATTGATCGAGGGGCTTGGCAAAGGCAACTATTTCAGCACTTCATAAGGTGAGGATGGTTGACTATATTGCTTATAATTAGTGAGTTAATTTCATTAGAATGCCTAAAGTAATTAGATGGGATTTTCATGGATTATTAATGATTAATAATGCCTAAATGAAAATAATATGGATATGAGTAAGTGAAGCATGATATACAAATTTAGAATAATTGTGTATGATTATGTGAAATGAATGGAACGGCATGTTAATGGAATTACTATGATGATATTGTGATAAAATAAACTTTACTTCATGTATGAAATTCATGAATGGATTAAAGTGATATTTTTGATATTGAGATCAAACTATACTTGGGTTGAGAAATCAATGGAAATGAAATGCAAATTGGGAAATAGGAACTTGGCATGTTCTAAGATTATCCAATTAGTATCAAAATACTAGTCGGGGAATTAATATAAATGAATGATGAAACAAATCCTAAGAGGTAGGATTGTGGATAGATATTCCTTGAGTAGTCTCAAGAGATACTTAAGGATGAATGATATGAACACTAAGGTGTGATAGGGGTAGGCCTAAAGGCCACCTCCGGGAATTGATTCTAGGCATAGGACTTGCTTGAGAATTTGATTAAGAAAATAATTAGAGTTGGACTCTAGGATGACATGGAGATGTAGTTGGGCCGAGCCCATGCCATGTAATATGATTAGCATGGAAACGTAGTTGGGCCGAGCCCTTTCCATGTATATGTGACCTACGTGGAAACGTAGTTGGGCCGAGCCCTTGCCACGAAGTTATGGTTGGTATGGAAACGTAGTTGGGCCGAGCCCTTACCATACAAATTGTGATATGATATATCGAGTTAGAGGATTGTATAGAGATGTAGTTGGGCGGAGCCCATGCTATACAATTGGGGCTCGACGGGACCCCACGGGGTTATCGTGACTTGCGGTCACGGGGGATGGAAACGATGAATTCTAAACGCATATGGGCCTACGGGCCGACTACTTGACTTTATATAAAGTAAGTACACTTAAAAGAAAAAGGGGTAACCGAGGGTTAGGGCCTATAATATAATAGTACCCTAAGTTGAGGGTCGGGGAAATTAAAACGTTGATTATACTTAGTATAGGTGCTATTGTACTTGTCAAATATTTCCAAGTACTGACCTCCCCTTCACGGGGGAGGCCACCTCACAGTTTCAGGTAGAACTTGAAGGTTGCTACCGGCGCCCGTTGCTTCGGGGATTTTCAAGGGAGAAGACGTGGTTCGTGCTTCTTCTGTTTCCTGTTTTCAAAACAATTATAACAATGCTCATGGATATTATTTTTGAATAATTAATTGGGGGCTTGTATGCCCATGTTTGCCAAAGTGTGGCTAAGACATCTTTATTAAATGCTTCCGCTGTTTTAAATGCATGTTTTACATTATGTTTGTTTATGGATGTACTATGTGTGAATGGTATTCATGACGCCTTGTATAGTATGGATGAGTTGGACTGCGGTTGACTATTCATACTGTACGGCGGGTTGTTGACGTGTCCGACTAGGTCCGGGGCGTGACAGTACGAGATGATTCAAATCGTTGGACCGAGACATATTGCTTGAAAGTTCAAGACGACGTACAGGTTCTGACAAAACCAGAATGTGATACATTTAAATTTATTTCATTCTTAAATTAATACTTTCCTTTACATATATTTAAGCATCCGAGGGTCATAGGCTTCTAGTCAATGTCCAGCTTTGGCAAATTCTGTTTACACATGAATAGTCAACAATAACGATGATGACGTCCTCACACACATCAAACAAAGACTTATGGAAATGTCAAAACATAAATGACGGGGCTTACACAGTTAAAAGCCTTATAAAAACGTGAAAACATAAATGACAGAACTTACAAGGAAAGAAATGGGTTTTCATATCTTATAAAGATGAGTGCAAAGAAAAGCAATTAAAAGCAATTTAAACATAGAAATTGAAATTTGAAAACCCTAATTTTTGAGCATAAAGAAAATCCACCAAAAAGCTTGAGAAACGCCATTAATGGAGAAAAGAAGAGAAAGTACCTTGGTGGCTCTTTGGCTTGGCGCCTTGGCCGCTTGGCCCACTTGTCCCGCTTGCTGGCGGCTGGCCAATTGGAATGTGAAAATCCTTGCCTTCATTGAGTAAATCATCTACTATAAATACATGGAGTAACCTCCTATACTACACGGATGAATATACATGGAAATAGGCTAACATAATGCCAATGATATACTATCCATAAATACCTAAAATGAATCTAGCCACTAAATGAACCAAATACAAAATACAAGAAATATGGTAATAATATACATAACCGAATATGGTAATAAAATGCATAACCGTTCGGTTAATACGCCCCCGCAGTCCCACCGTGAAGTGGCCGAACGGTGAGGCTGTTTCGGAATTCCTCAAACAAAAGGCGTGGAAGTCCCTTGGTGAAGATGTCCGCGAATTGGTACCGTGTGGGAACATGAATTATTCGGACCTCCCCGCGGGCAACCTTTTCCCGAACAAAATGAATATCAATTTCAATGTGTTTGGTCCGTTGATGTTGAACGGGGTTGCCGGCCATGTATATGGCACTTATGTTATCACAGTATATAATAGATGCTTTCGAGGGAGGGCAATGAAGTTCCAGTAGGAGATTGCGGAGCCAACAAGTTTCGGCGACCACGTTGGCGACGCCACGGTATTCGGCCTCGGCACTAGAGCGGGAAATGGTGGTTTGGCGCTTGGAGGACCAAGATAGAATATTGTCTCCCAAGAAGACGCAATAGCCAGACGTGGACCGTTGAGTGTCGGGGCAGCCACCCCAATCGGCGTCAGTGTATGCAGTAAGAGAGTGGGCCGGTGAACGATGAAGGTGTATACCGAAGTGAGGTGTGCCGCGAACGTACCGAATAATCCGTTTGAGTGCATGAAGGTGAGCCTCTCGTGGATCATGCATGAAGAGACAAATCTGTTGGACAGCATAGGAGATATCGGGCCGGGTAAAGGTGAGGTATTGTAGTGCGCCAGCAAGACTACGGTAAAGAGACGGGTCATGTACCGGGGGACCCGCTGCGGCACTAAGTTTACCACTGCAATCGACTGGGGTAGCAACGGAGTTGCACTGATCCATACCCGCACGGCTAATGATTTCCTGGGCATACTGATTTTGGGATAAGAAGAGCCCGCTGGGCAGTGTGGTTACCGAAATGCCGAGGAAGAAGGAGAGGGGCCCAAGGTCAGTCATGGAGAACTCTCGGTGGAGGTGGGCCAGAATGGTGCGCCGGAGGGTGTCGGAGGAGGCCATGAGGATGATGTCGTCAACGTATAGCAAGAGAAAGGTGGTGTCGTGTTTATGCCGGAGGATGAACAAATAATGATCACACTTGCTATGGACGAAGCCGAGGGTGGCTACATATGTGGTGAATCTTTGGTACCAAGCCCGGGGGGCTTGCTTTAGTCCGTAAAGGGATTTGAGCAATCGACAAACATGTTGTGGGCGGGAAGAGTCACGGTAGCCGGGCGGTTGGTGCATGAAGACGGTTTCCTCAAGTTGTCCGTGAAGGAAGGCATTCTTGACGTCTAATTGATGGAGAGGCCAAGAATGAGAGAGTGCAATGCTTAGGACGGTGCGGATAGTGGCCGGTTTAACAACCGGGCTGAAAGTTTCATCACAATCCACCCCTATTTGTTGAGAATTGCCATTTACCACTAACCTTGCTTTGTGCCGTTCAAGAGAGCCATCGGACCTGTATTTATGCTTAAACAACCACATACAACGAATAATGTTAGTATCGGGCGGCCAGGAACCAACTCCCACGTCCTATTTTTAATAAGCGCACTAAACTCGTCATCCATGGCGGCTTTCCAACACGGGTCATGGAGGGCAGTGATGGGACTTTTGGGTATGGGAGAAGGGGTGAGGTTGACCGAGAGGTTGAGGATCTGTTTGGGTTTGAAGATGCCGGATTTGGCTCGGGTAACCATGGGGTGAAGAGCTGGGGCAGTGTGGCTGGGATCTAAGGGGGAATCGGGTGGATGTGGGGAAGTGGGTAACTGTTCGGTGTTGATGGGGGGTGTAGGTGAGTGGTCAGGGGTGTGTTGACTGGTGGATGAGGTGGACCGCATGGGAATGCGGGGTTGACTGGGGGTGTCAGTGAAGGAAAATGAAGAGGGGTCCGTTTGTGAAGGAGTTTGGGAGGTGTCGGATGGGGTTTGAGAATTAATCAAAGAGGGCTGCACGTGGGGGTTGGTTTGGGGGGAATTGGGCGTATGCATGGGCCATGCATGGGTATCAAGGTTCATACGTAGGAGAGGGTGGGTAAGGTCATATGTGGGTGGGTTCAAATTTGGATTTTTGTGAGGAGTGTGAAAAGGAAATACGGCCTCATTAAAAGTGACGTGTCGTGAAATTATGATTTTGGGAGAATTTAATGTCATGCAAATGTAACCTTTGTGATTGTCGGGATACCCTAAAAATACACAAGGGGTGGACCGGGGTTGAAGTTTGTGGGTAAGGGGGAGTGTATGAGGAAAGCATAAGCATCCGAATACACGAAGGTGAGTATATGTGGGTATTTTATGGTATAGGAGAAGTGTGGGAGAGCGGTATTGTATAGTGTAAGAGGGTAGGATGTTGTGTAAGTAGGTGGCTATTTTAAGGGCATGCGGCCACAAAGTCAGGGGTAGTGAGGCGTGGATGAGTAGGGTACGGGCCATATTATTGAGGGTGCGGATGGTGCGTTCGGCTTTGCCATTTTGGGGGGAGGTGTAAGGGCATGAGAAACGAAAATGAATGCCATGAGTGGCACCGAAGTAACTAAAATTGTGGTTACGAAATTCGGTGCCGTTATCACATTGTAAGATTTTTATACGTTGTTCAAATTGTGTGTGAACAAAGTTATAAAATGTGACAAAAGTGGAGAATGTTTGTGATTTATGTTGTAGGGGGTACACCCATAAGAACTTGGAAAAATCATCTAAAAATAATACATAATAACGATGTCCGTTATGACTTAGTACAGGAGATGTCCATAAATCACTATGTATTATTTCAAATGGTTTAGAAGTAGTAGATAAGGAATGAGAAAAAGGCAACTTGACATGTTTGCCCATTTCACATGAAGTACAAACAGACGCATGAAGTTTATTACAAGAAATAACATTATTCATTCTGAGAAAATTAAAAATGGGATCTCCCGGATGACCAAGGCGACTGTGCCAAAGTTCAGCGGGGATAGTTATTAGGGCGGAAGCATGAGAGGGAAAAGAGCCGGAACTTGGGCGAACGGGATATAGGTGGCCGGAACTATTGCACCGTAGTATTTGTGTCCCTGTGCGGAGATCCTTCACAGAAAAACCAAAGGGGTCAAATGCAACGGAAACGTTATTATCAGTTGTAAATTGACGGACAGAAATGAGATTTTTAATGAGGTGGGGGGCATGTAGGACATTTTGCAAGTGGAGAGGGGAGGGGGTGTTGGGCAGTGTGGTGTAGCCGTGCCCCACGATGGGGACGGACATGCCGTTGCCAACCATGATACGATTATTCGTACGCAGATTAAAATAAGGAGTGAGAGTACCTGAGGAAGATGTCATGTGTGAGGTTGCCCCGGTGTCCATATACCAATTGTTGTCCGGCGGAGTGAGGGTCATGGTGTGCATGGCAGCTTGTATGTCAGTTGGGGTGGTACCGGTGGTGGAGTAGTAGGCCTGTGGGCGTGGTCCAAGAATGCCGGGGGAGGGGTTAGAGGGGGGTTGCTTGTGTGGCAGTGGGTTTGAGGGGTATGGGCAGGGTGGTGCGGACCAAGGGTGAGGAGGCCAATAGGACCAAGGGTTAGGGGGGTATGGCCAGTGGCCGGGTGGTGGGGTGGGGGTCGAGTATGGAGGACGGGTGGAGCGTTGGCGGCCACCACGACCCCGAGAGCGGTTGTGCCGAGGTTCTGGGCGGGGGTGAAGAGACTGGGGACGAGGAGGGGAGTGAGGGGGGTTACGGTCCGTGTGCACCATGGCGGCAGCGAGTGGATTACCGGCTTGTTGATTCTTACGAGCCTCTTCGAGAGACAACATGGACCGGGCCTTGGAGAAAAGCAGGAGAGGGTCGGCTTGTTGGATGAGGGAAGCCACGGTGTCAAAATGTTCCGGCAGTCCGTTAACAAGGCGAAGGACAAGGCGACTATTGGTGACCGGAGCGCCGACGTTGCTTAGTTGGTCGGCCAGGAGCTTGAGGGCTTTGCAGTAGGAGGCAACGTTGGGAAATTGATCAAGACGGGTATTGGAAAACTGATTTTCCAAGTACACCGCCCTTGAGTGTTTATTGTCCTGGAAGATGTCCGCAAGGTGTGACCAAGCCATGTGAGCCGTGGAGTCGGGCTCGATGATGGTGTGGAGAAGGTCGTGAGAAATTGTGCCGTAGATCCATTGTAGGACGACGGCATCGAGGCGGTCCCAAAGGGCCTTAGCTTCGGCGGCGGCAGCTTCAAGTTCCAACCGTTGTTCGAGTGTAGTAGCGGCTTGAGGAGGGGAGTCGGTTTCAAGGGTGGCGGGCAGTAGGTGGTCGAGGACTTGATAGGCCCGGGCGGTAATACGGAAGAGTTCCGCCCATGAAGAATATTCCACGGTTTCAAGATCAAGGGTTATGGGGATGAAGTTTTTAATATTGGAGACGGCCAAGGCGGGGTGAAATTTGGAGGAGGAAGCCATGGCCGGAAGAATAGAGCTGCTGATACCAAATTGGAATGTGAAAATCCTTGCCTTCATTGAGTAAATCATCTACTATAAATACATGGAGTAACCTCCTATACTACCAGATGAATATACATGGAAATAGGCTAACATAATGCCAATGATATACTATCCATAAATACCTAAAATGAATCTAGCCACTAAATGAACCAAATACAAAATACAAGAAATATGGTAATAATATACATAACCGAATATGGTAATAAAATGCATAACCGTTCGGTTAATATGGCCGCTTCCTGCTTGTCGTCGCCGGTCACTCACTCAGTCGTCACTCTTCGTGGAAGGAAAACAGGGGCAGGGCCGCAGGGGGGCTTTGGCAGTTTGGCCGCTTCGCAGAATCGCGGTTGGGACTTGGGGGGCTGCGTGAAAGCGTGAAAGAAAAAGGGGGCTGCCGCGGGCTGGGTCTTTGCGTGAAAGGAAAAGGGGCTGCCTGCCGGGTTGGCCGGTTGGGTCTTTTGTTTTGGGCTTAAGTCGGGCCGTGCCTTCCCTTAAAGACAGAAAAAAACGCCAAAAAAAAAATTACTCCAACGGGATTCGAACATGATACCTCCGGGTAGCATAGATACTTTGCTTCTGGACGTGTTCCCATTCCACTACACCACTCTTATTGTTTTGAAGTTGTTTTGTGTTTATATATACATTGAATAATTAATTTTAAATAATATATATATATATAATATATAGAGATTTTTTCCGAGGTGCACGGAGTCCCGGGACCCTTTGGGACCCTTAGTGGGTCCGCCACTGACGAGCTATGCAATTTTACAGTTTTGTAGCTCATGGGAGTGGTTGGAGAATGTGTAGTTCCTATAAAGTAACAATAAACAATTACACCATCGAAAGTTCAAATTAGGGTAAGAAGTTTAAAAATCATCCATTGTGGATGTAGAAACATTGGTAAGATGAAGATTACACATATGGTAAGAAGATACTAGTCAGTGATATGTTTCATTTCTTGACCTCCATAATTCAAAAGGACGATGAACAAGATGGAGGTGTATCATTCCATAGAACTGGACATGCATGTTGGATCAAATGGAATTAGAAGTGTGTTAGGATTTCCAGGTGATCAAGGTATGTCGACTAGACTGAATGATAAATTTTATCGCGCACAAATTAGTCATGCACTACTATATGGCGACCAGACCAAACCAGACCAGACTTGGACATTTATAAAATACACAAAGATCAGAAATACATTTATCAGACTAGACCAGACCAGACTTAAATAGACCAGATCAGATCAGAGCAGACCAACAAATTACAAGCCAAAAGAAAACATATTAGGTGTGTGCTTTGGCCCTTTGAGTAAAATAGTGAGATAAGGATGTTTTCTTTTGGACTGAAATTTGTTGGTCTGTTCTGGTCTGAACTGGTAAATGTTTGGTCTCTGCGTATTTTATAACTATGGAAGTTTGGTCTCATCTGGTTTGGTCTAATCTGATCTGGTCTAATCTAGTTTCGTCTGATCTGGTGTGGGACTTAAAACGATTCAAAAGAAAACATACTCCCTCCGGTCCTTAATTAACTTTACACTTTCCTTTTTAGGTCGTCCCATATTAAACTTTACACTTCCTTATTTGCCTTATTTGGAAAACAAATCTACACCAAACAGTGCAAAACAGTGTCAAACAGTGCCAAACAGTGTACTCTACACTAAACTCAAATTTATTTCCCTAATATGTGTGAAGTCAAAGTGTAAAGTTTAATAAGGACCAGAGCGACTACACAGGTAGTACTAGTATATACTCCGTAGTAGGGATGGAGGGCGGGCAAATTTTACGTAGGGAGCACTGATTCTCATGTCTCCGACATACGCGCAATCACGCATGCATGCATCGTCGCTTTTTGGATTTATTAGTATTTCTGGATAAACAAAGACCCGCGCCGGCCAACGTAATCCGGCTTAATTGATTCCACGCGTGCCCTGCATGCACCTTCAATTCCCTATAAATAATTACCATCGCCTGCCTAGGCTAGCAGCTAATCATAAGCTAGACAACTCCGGTCCTAACTCCCGCCGCCGCCGCCGCCGCCACCGCAACCATATTTATATTACACTCGTTAGTTCAATTCATTCATCAATCGATCGGCCATGGATCGAGCCCTTTCCAGGCAGCCGTCCACGAGAAACACGAGCACGCAGCAGCCGGTCAGTAACACAGGGCTGCCCCCCACTCCGTCGCAGTCGGCGTCGACGTCGTCGAGCCACCCGGCGGTTATATTCGGGAACATGGTGAGAGAGATGGCGGAAAAGAAGGCGGTGGTGATATTCACGAAGAGCACGTGCTGCATTTGCCACAGCATAAAGATGCTGTTCGTGGACATGGGGGTGAACCTGGACGAGCACGAGCTGGACCGCCACAACATGGGGCCGGAACTGGAGTGGGCTTTGAAGAACATGGGCTGTAGCCCCACCGTGCCCGCCGTCTTCATCGGCGGCAAGCTCGTCGGCAACGCAACCGAGGTCATAAACCTTCAACTTTCCGGCCAGCTCAAGCAAATGCTCAAGGATGCCAAAGCTATTTGGCTCTAATAATAATATAATCAAGTACAAAGTTGTTATTGTTAACCGTACAACTTGAGGAACCTACTGTACTAAGTGACCATATATGCATGTATACCAAAAACCGATTAATAATTGTACTATCATGTCAAGTAGCTAGCTTAGCTTATAAGCTTGTAGCAGCTTATATTGGATGTGGCTGGCCGGACATGATTAAAGAACTTTCTTCCATTTTCAATTTCTACTTTGTTTTATAAACATGTTTAGCAAGAATAAGTCTCTCTCTTCAAGTTTTTGTACTGTTCAAAAAGTTTTTAAAAGTTTCTAGTTATACGTTTGGCATGACAATTTTTAAAAGTTTTTCAAAAATTAAAAGATCTTTTTTGGGATGCTACATGGAGTAGCATCTGAAAAAAGCCCGTGACTTTCAGAATTAATTAGTCCTAACAGCTTGTGTACCAAACCGAACTAAATCAAACAGTCAGCTTTTTACCAAACAGCTACCACATTTTCTTTTTAATTAAGATCTTTTCAGTCACTAAAAGCTAACAGTTACTACGTACGATAGTATTAAAAAGCTCATAAAAGTATTTTTTCAGCTAGTTGTGCCAAACATACCCGTAATGTTTTACTATTTTGTGGGTTTTTATGAATGTATATATATAGAGAGAGAGTAGTCTTCCGATCAGGAATCCCTGACCGGAACCGCCGTCCAGACGGCGGCGTTTGGCTGTCTTCCACGTAGAATTTTTTGATAAAATTTTTATGGCATGTTCTACATCAAGTCTAGTTTATCCACAAAAAAAGTTCAGCTAAAAACTCATTCGGGAAGGTCGTCAAATGATTTTTGGAAGTTAACTGCGCCGGAAAATACATATAAAACGCAGTTAACTTCCATAAATCATTTGAGGACCTTCCTGATTGATTTTTTTGCTGAATATTTTTGGGGATAAACTAGACTTGATGTACAACATGTCATAAAAATTTCATCAAAAAAATCCACCGGAAAGACCGCCAAACGCCGCCATCCGGACGGCGGTCCTGGTCCGGAATTCAGGACATGAAGATTTCTATATATATATATATATATATATATATATATATATATATATATATATATATACACACACACACACACACACTTTTTTACCCACACAGACTACGTATTAGAAATTGATTAATATGGACTAAAAGATACACAAAGTTAGAAAATAGAAGCAGCAATATAATTATATTTTCTTCCAAAAATAGGCCTTACTAAATCTTACGGAGTATTAAAAGAATAAAATGACTAAAAATTTTCTAAATTAAATATAAGTGAATGAGTCATATTTTAGAAATAAAATAATAGTAATTCTATTTATGAACTTTAAACTTATTTAGGACGCTTTCCCTATATACGTACCGTGTGGTCAATGTCCATTTGGAATTCAAACTCAGGAAACGCTAACGTAAATAAATGAAAATGAAAATTCGTACGTACTACATACGCCCATGGAATAAATTCCTAATTTGACTTTCAAAGAGTACATTAGAGAAAAACATATTTCTCCATTGGCTTCTAAAGGCGTCTAAATTCCCGGTGACATTAAGTATGATCATAGGGCATTTCTCGAGTCTAGATAGAGTCTACTAGAAAGTAGTTGGCAGATCTTGAGTTTTTGATCGATTATAACTTCAAATTATTTGTTAAATTAATATCATTTGGCGTTTTCTTTCAAAAAAAAAAACAGTGTAAATTGATAATATTCTTTTAACCAAATAAATATGGACAAAGGGAGTATAAAAAAATTATTGTTCGATGAGAAAATAGACCAAGGGAAATAAATATACTCGTATGTTTAAACATGGTCATTGAGGGTGTGTTTTGCAATCAAGGTTAATGGTAAGCGGCTAGCAGATTATGTTAGCAGGTTGTTGATAGAGGTTTTAGTCAACAAAATTAAAAGGATGGTTGGTAATTCAGTATGTAATGCCCGCCCTATTTCAAAACGCTAAACACGAAAATGTTAGGGCCAAATAATCATTTGCCAAACAATATGGATTAGCATTTTCTATAATGGAAAACGCTAAAATATGTCAAATCTTTTTTTTCTTATATACTATTTTTCAAATACACCTTAAGAGTGTGATCGATGATTCTATTTTAGAAATAAAATATAGTTACTCATATTTATGCACTTTTTCTATATATTATTTCTTCCTATTTAAGGAATTCTCTTTTTTACTTGGGTAGAATAGCTCTTCACAATATAATACTTTGTACTCCGTAATTGAATTATTATCATTCATCGGATAATTATAGTTCGAAGAATCTCGCATATAAATGGATGTATATCCATAAGTAATATGTTCTTGTTTGTTCTTAATTATGTTGGTGCTTTGGATTGAATTGCCGACGATTACTATTAAGGAGAATCTACCAATATGGTTCAAGACTTGAAGATAAAAATATTATATTCCTTAGCTCGTCAAAAGGTATGATGAAAAGGGTAGATGTGGATTGATATATGAATATCTAACTATAAATGGCTTTGGTTTGGATTCGTTAAATTCAATTCTAAAATACATCCAAATTATGTCTGAGGCTGACCAAGCAAAGTCTGCCACTTTAGTTTGTCAACCCGGACTTGATCGGCTTTAGTGTTGTAGGGGAAATAGCTCTCCAACAAATGGGAATACTTATCATTGAGTAGAGGATATGGAGGTATGGAAGAGTCTATAAGTGAGGAGGGTTGGTTTTTTATAGTTGAGTGAGCTTGATATTAGGACTTAATTATTTATTACTCCCTCCGTCCCGAAATTATCTTCATTCTTTCCTTTTCGGTTCGTCCCAAATTTATCTCCTCTTTCCCTTTTTGATAAAGAATATGTGGTTCACAATCATTCTTACACATTTCTCTCTCCTCTGCACAACTCTCCACCACAAAAATCTCACTATCTTAATCCTCGTGCCCAGTCAAAACCGAAGTTAATTATGGGACGGAGGGAGTATATTTTATTAATGTATGGGGCTGGCCTGGCCGGTTGTATAGGGTTTGTATAGCTTACTTAGATCATGACTCTTGTACTATATATATTCCTTAATCATTAATAATAGAATCAACTTCTCACTCTAATATGGTATCTAGAGCCAAACTTTAAAGAGCAAAACAATTTTTTTTCGGCCCTCCCCTTCGTTCGCTACCTGCCGTCGCCACCTAGGGTTTTACAGCCGCCGTCAACAGCTGCTACCCCCGACAACCATGGTTCTCACGTCGGACTCCACCGTGATCACTATCACGGCCTCTACGCACTTTCCTATCAAACTTACTTCATCTAACTACCCTGTTTGGAAAACCCAGGTTTATGCAGCTCTCATTGGACTTGGCCTGGAAGATTATGTGGATGGCACCCTCACCACACCCAACCGCCATCATGATGTCGGAAAATCCACTCTGAATTTGCTCTATCAAACTTGGTACCGCCAGGATAAGAGTATTCTCAGTGCTCTTCTGGGTAGTTGCTCAGACACTATTCAGCCCCTTATTTCTTCGGCTAGCACGGCCAAAGAGGCGTGGGATCGTGTCTCTCAAACTTATGCCGGTTTGTCGCGTGGAAGAATCATGTCGCTCAAGTCTACCTTTGCTAAAACTATTAAAGGTACGAAATCCATCACGGAGTATCTTGCGGAGATGCAAGCACTCACTGAAGCACTGGCCCTCTCTCAAAACCCCATACCCGAAGAAGACCTTGTCATTGGCATTCTCAATGGCCTACCACCCGATTATTCCGAAATCATTGATGTTGTTCGGGTCCGTGAGACAGCACTCCCATTAACAGCCCTTCAGGATATTCTGCTTGAGCATGAAGCCAAGCAGGCCGCCCTCAATTCACAAACCTCGCATCTGGTACCCACGGCAAACTAAACCTCTGGACAGCGAGGTCCTCGTGATGCATCTGCCTAGCGAGATGGTGACCACCAGGGTGATCGTCACGGTGGATTTTCTGGACACCGTGGTCGCGGGCGAGGTTCGTACGGTGCTGGGGGCAGTCGCGGGTCCTCCAGGCAGCTTCAGCGCCACTTTGTGAGAATATTGGACACGACGTCAAGAACTGCCGCAAGCTTCAGCGGTTTCTTCGGAACCATAATGTTCTACCGCAACGGGGTCCACATGCAAATTATGTGTCAGCTCCCTCTCCCATGCAACATCAGTCGTGGCTCTTTGATAGCGGTGCATCTCATCATGTTACGTCCGATGTGTCTCAATTACCCACTTATTTTGAGTACGGTGGCCTTGAAGAGGTTAAGTTAGGGGATGGTAAGTCACTTAATATTACTCATAAAGGTACCACTATTTTATCTACCCCTACCTGTAACCTTTCCCTATCAAATGTTTTATGTGTTCCAAAATTACTAAAGAATCTTATTTATGTGGCCAAGCTCTGCAAAACTAACCATGCCTATGTTGAATTTTTCCCTGATTTTTTTATTGTGAAGGATCGCATCACGGGGGCACCACTGCTACGCGGGGTGAATCAGCATGACGTTTACTATGCACCAGTGTCAACCTATGCTAATGTCAATGTCACTCAATCCACCTGGCACCATACTTTGGGTCATCCTTCGCGTCGTGTTATGCAGTCTTTATCCTTTGGTTCAAACATAAAGTTTTCTACTAGTTCTCATTGTATGTCTTGTTCAATCAATAAAAGTCATAAACTTCCCTTCTTTAATAATACGATGTCTGCTTCCAAACCATTGGAATTAATTTATTCTGATGTATGGAGTTCTAGTGTTTCCTCGATTGATGGTTATTGCTATTATGTCATCTTTGTTGATTATTTTACTCGTTATATCTGGCTCTATCCTTTAAAAAGAAAATCTGATGTTGCCACAATTTTTTCTCAATTTCATCGCCTTGTCAAAAAATACTTTAATTCTCGAATAATTAAATGTTTCTCTGACAACGGCGGTGAATTGATTAAATTGCGCCCTTATCTCAACGCACACGGTATTTCTCACTTCACCACACCCCCTCACACTCCTGAGCATAATGGCTTAGCTGAGCGTAGGCATCGTCATATTGTTGAAACAGGCTTCGCCTTACTGCACTATGCCGGCATGCCTCATCAGTATTGGTCTTATGCTTTTCTTACCGCCGTTTATCTCATAAATAGACTACCTACCCCCATCCTTCATGGTGCCTCTCCCTACTCCAAATTACATAACCTCACACCAAATTACTCTAAACTTCAGCCTTTTGGATGACTGTGTTACCCCTGGCTTCGGTCGTACACCTCCACCAAACTTCAACCCTGATCCATTGCGTGTGTCTTTCTTGGTTATTCTCTTACCCAATATGCATTTTACTGTCTAGATCGCCACTCAGGTCGTGTCTATGTCTCGCATCATGTTATATTTGTTCCACATATTTTCCCTTTTCTGTCCTCTGACCAGTCTTCTTCCGTGCATAGTGAACCCACCTGTTGGCCCCTCTCTCGCTCAGTGGCTCCCAAGTTTTACTTTCCTACAGCCCGGGAAACGCCCACCTGGAACGCTGCATCCAACCTTTCCCTTAGTGTCAGTCCGCACCTTCTACCAGAACCAAACACCAACGACCCTTTACCTCCAGACCCCTCGGTACCTCCGGCTCCATCACCCACTCCTCACCCTACGCCATCGCCCTGCCCGAAACCGCAAACCTAACCCCCGATATTATAGTGGTGCTTTTGTGAATAATACTAATGTGTATCCCATTTCCCCTACACTTGAACAGGTTTCTTTGAAAGTGGCTTTGCAGGATTCCAGGTGGAAGAAAGCAATGGATGAAGAATATCAAACCTTACTCCGTAATCATACGTGGGACCTTGTCCCTCCTGCTCATCATACTCCTATTACTTGTCGTTGGATTTTTCGTGTAAAGCGCCACTCCAATGGCAGTGTTGCTCATTTCAAAGCTCGTTTGGTGGCCCACGGATTTCTCCAGCAGCCTGGACGTGATTACTCTGGGACTTTTAGTCCTGTTTTTAAGCCAGTCACTTTACGAATAGTGCTCACTATTGCTTTGTCTCGAGCTTGGCCGATCAGACAGCTAGATGTTAACAATGCTTTCTTGCATGGAACCTTGGAGGAGGAGGCGTATATGGTTCAGCCACCTGGATTTGAAGACCCAATCCATCCTAAGCATTTGTGTCACCTTAAGAAGGCTTTATATGGCCTTAAGCAAGCTCCATGGGCTTGGTATCTTGCGCTTTCCGGATTTCTACTTTGCATGGGTTTTCGTCGGTCTCAGACGGATCATTCACTATTTGTTTATAATCATGCGGGTGTTCTTATTTATTTCCTAGTATATGTGCATGATATTATGTTGACAGGTAGCTCGAACTCTGTGCTTGCTTTGTTTATATCTCAACTCACCAAGGAATTTTCTGTCAAAGATTTGGACCCTCTTCATCACTTCCTTGGTATTGAGGTTATTCCTCACCCCACGGGCTTGCTTTTATCTCAACGGCAGTATATTCTTAATATTCTGGATAGTCATGGTATGCTAGGAATTACGCCGGCTGTGACACCCATGAGTGCCGGTAACGCAGGGTCTGTTACTTCGGCCGAAGCCTATTCTGATGTCACATGCTAGCGGCGAGCACTTGGCATGCTGCAGTATCTGTCTTTCACTCAGCCTAATATATCCTTTGCAGTGAATCGCCTTTCTCAGTACATGCATTTCCCTTCAGTTGATCATTGGACAGCCGTCAAACGCATTTTTCGCTATCTCAAAGGTACGTTGGATTTTGGCTTGTATCTACACAAATATTAGGGTCTTCAGCTTACTGCGTTCTCTGATTCTGATTGGGGTGGAACGACCGATGATGGGAGGTCTACTACTGCTTATGTTCTCTATCTCAACCCTAATATTATTTCTTGGAAGTCTGCCAAGCAGAAGAGTGTCTCTCGCTCATCTACTGAGGCAGAATATCGTGCGGTAGCTAATGCCAGTGTTGAGATTCTATGGGTCAAGAACGTGTTGCATGAGTTGGGTATTACCTTACCTTCGGTTCCTGTGCTTTATTGTGATAATCAAGGCGCTACATATGTATGTGTTAATCCAGTATTTCACTCACGAATGAAGCATCTTGCCTTGGATTTTTTCTTTGTTCGAGAACTTATTCAACGTGGTCAACTACGAGTTTCACATATCTCCACCAAATTACAAATTGCAGACGCTCTTACCAAACCCCTGGGACAGTCCTTATTTGAGAGTTTTCGGTCCAAGCTTGGAGTTTCCAATGGAACCTCCATCTTGCGGGGGCGTAATTATTTATTATTTTTTATTAATGTATGGGCCTGGTCTGGTTGTATAGGGTTTGTATAGCTTACTTAGATCATGACTCTTGTACTATATATATTCCTTAATCATTAATAATAGAATCAACTTCTCACTCTAATACTTGATTCCTCTTGTAATACAACTCTAGTTATTGAATAGGTCGAAGAATTTTCCAATTCTACAAGTGGAATCAAAGCTAGGTTGAGCTTTTTATACACTCTTTTTCATTTTTTCTGGTAAATTCGTGTTTTTAAGTTTTTCCCAAAATTGAAATCTGATCATATCATTGGATCCATCTAGTCGAGACGAGAAAGATGCAATTTTCTAGTGAACAACCGGCGCACAACCGCCACGGGCCAGCAAGTGAGTCCCAAATGGCACGCACACTTAACTAGTTGGTTAAAGGTTGAAAAATACCAACTCATTGTCATGTCATCTCGATGTATATCAGCGCCACGTCTGGCCCCGCCACTACCACTACGTCAGCACCCATGTCACCTTCGGCACAGTCAGCAAGCGACATGTGTGGTGTCCACGTTAGCGTCTACGTGGCGACACATCACAACAAGCTCAATGTCAGTTGTAGCCACTTCATTCTCTGATTGTCATCACGTCATTCTCTTGTGTTAGCTCACCTCACGGGTACTGTTGACTGAACCGGTCCAAACCGATATGATTCACAATTCTACAGTCCAGTCACGACTTCTTGACGGGTTTTTGAAGAGGTGAGGTTAGCTTCTACCATTTTTAACCACTCTGAATCCAACCATGAGCTTCGTTCGACCTAATTCCGATTCAAAATTCAAGTACAGGGAATATTGTACACTTTATTATGTATAAATCATCAATAAATATCATGATTGTGCTCACTTCTCCAAATTACAATATGTGGAAATCTCATATGGAGGGTTTGCTAAATTTAAAGGATTTAGCTGGTCGTGTGAACCTAACAAGAAAACTGATGAAAAATGTTGCTCAAGAAAAGCGTGCTTAGAAACCCTTGGAGAAGCTTAGTAGTAGCATGTACCAAGCAAAACTTGTTCGAAATAATACACCGTTGATGAGATGATTGATAAACCCCAAGTTAGGTGGTGGTGTCTCAATGACAGAACACACGAGTACGTCAATTTCAGTATCTTATGAACCTACTAAGCGCATTAAGATGAGTTTTCAAAGACGGGGAACAACCAATACTACTCCTAAATTATCTACATGATAGTTGGGAGACTATTGTTGCCACGCTCGACAATTGTGCACTAGATGGTCACAAACGCCTTGATGAACGAGGAAATAAGAAATATATGAATCCTATCTCGGGAGTAGCTCTGCATCGTCAATCATATATGAATCATCTTGGAAGTTAGGAGCCTCGGATTGATCAATCATATGTCTTTCCTTAATTTGTTCCAGAATCCAATAGCCGATGGGGATCAAAAATGGAGGACGAGGTAAAGGTAGAGGTCGAGGTCAATGTAGAGGGGGTTCCCAAGGTCAAGGAAGATCGTGAGACTAGGGGAAGTATGTCTGATAGAGTATATACCTAGAGAGAAGTGAGAGCTAGAGAGAGAAGTGCAAGTAATGCTTCAATAGAATGATTTTGTAACCCCTATAACTACCTCCAGAGGAAGTATTTATAGGAAAAATACGGGTTGGGCTCCTAAGCCTTGGGCTTGGGAGGCCCATTTACAACTGGACCGCTATTGGGCCGAATACAAAGTAACTGATGGGCTATATAAATGAATAAGTGTAAAATCTAGTTATGCGAGTCCTCCGTGGCAGACGAGGGTCTGGCCGACGAGGACACGGCCGATGAGGGCACGGCCGACGAGGACACCCTGGTTCCCTGGCTTCAGGACCATATTCTGAGGTTGCCCCTCTTCGGCCGACGAGGGTCCTTTGGCCGACGAGGGCACCGTGTAGTGGCTTGTGCTTTCTGTCCTTCTGAGTATGTGGGTCCTGGGGCCTAGACCCATATACTCCATCAGGAGTCCCCCACTCTCTAAGTT